CCTAGTTCATAGATGACAATTTTCATCATTAGTAGAAGTAAAATACAACTCACCTTTTAGAGAGACTAGAGATTCCTCATCAAGAAAAGTAAGTTTTACCTTTTCCAGGTTTCCTTCAAAAAGATTGCCACAAGATAAGCTAAATAAACTGCCTCCAATAAAAATTGCTTTAGAACCAAGAAAGTAGAAGCTAATATGCCCTGCACAAGATGGCATTTAACACGAAAGAATAAGATAAAAAAGGGTATAACCTACAATAAGTTTTAAATATACACCATTTACTTCACTGAAACTCTTAAAGATCCAAAACATGCAACTCCTAAAGATCCAAAACATGCAACTCCATCAAATATACATGTTGAATTAACCATTCAATTTAACATTCCGACTATATCCCAACATCTCCATACAAGAATATGATAACATTGTGGGGAATTTCGAGCACCACAATTCCACACAAACGGAAGCAATAAAGATATTGAGACAACAATTCAACGTGGTTCGACTTATACATCTCTCAATAAGTCTATGTCCACGGGAAAAAGATAAATAAATTCACTATTAAAAAAAAGAGTATAATAATTTAGAAGCTCTCTCACTCAAGAAGCTATCAACACCCTAATTTCAATGTATAGAAACTCCCAAATTCTCCCTAATACTTTCTCTTAATCAACACAAGGATTTTCTCACAATTTCTATCTTTCTTTTCTCTCACAAGAGCTCTCACTCAATTCCTTTTGCTTTCCCCCACTCTTGCTTGCACATTGCCTTTGCATGCATGGGTTTTTATAGTGAAAAATCCAACCACCCATGCACCATTTTCTATGCCTTATTACCATCGGTGCATGATTTTTCTTACTTCATTAAATGGGTCAATATGCAATCTTGCATGATTTCGATAAATCAATCCTAGTCCACAACTAGCTAGGTTGGTGAAGAAATTTCACCACATAGAAAGTCCCTGTGTTCACATGCATGGGGTTAGACTTTCTACCAACAATCTCCCCATCCAACCCCATGGGAGGAGAAACCAACCATGACTCAGCTCCCTCTGCTCAAGAACACTTCATCATGTTATCCTATTTTTGAGAGTTTCCTTCTAGTATAGGATAGGACAAACCTACACTAGGTGCACTACAGAAATTAATTTTGAACCAAGATATGATTCGAGGGAAAATCACACCTCCTCGAACCATCATCAAACACCACTTCATTGTTGAAGCTTAGCTTCTTCTTGGTTTTATTAATTTCCTTGCCATCTACCAAGATCCATTTAGCCTTCCACACCATCTTTCTCATGGTTTTGTTAAGCCTTTTCTCGGGATGTTGCTCAAGCACATAGATGTTGTGCTTGTTCTTCCTCCCACGTAAGACAAGTCTTCCACCTTTGTAGACCTTGCACCATTCTTGCTTTTCGACATACTTGCACCCTCGTATTGTCAACTCACTCAAAGCAATAATATTGCTTGAAGCCTTGAACACTTAGGCGCATATCTCACATTCTTGAGAATCTTGGCTCTCCCATTGTGAACATTGAGATGAACATCTCCTTTGCCTTCAATATTCACCTTCTTGTCGATAGCCACCATTGTTTTTCCAAGCTCCCCCCGAACCAAACTCACAAATTTCGAATGATTATTGCACACATGCACGGTTGCAGCAGAGTCCAAAATCCACCTTTGATTGTTTTGCTTCACCTCAGGATCACACTCTTCACAAGCTAATACTTCAACCACATTTTCTTCAACAATATTAGCCTCCCCCTTGCCCTTGGCTTCTTGACTTTTCATCAATATTTTCATCTTAGAAAAGTCCTCGTTAAACTTCAGGCATTTATACTGTTTATGACCCAACTCACCACAATAGAAGCATTGCACTTCACCATAATCCTTCTTAGGTCTAGATTTCAACCTTTCTCGATTTCCTCCACCTCCACGTCCATAGGATCTTCCTCGAGAGTGCTCCATCACCAAAGCATTAATTTGATTGGCACCATCATCCTCCCCAAGAAACTTATCATTCTCCAACAACATGGATGTGACATCTTTCATCACCAAAGTAGTCTTACTCACTAGCATACTCTGCACTAGGGATTGTAAGACTTAGGTAGGGATGCAAGTAAATGCAAAGCTTTCTCCTCTTCTTCTAGAATATCCCAAACATTCACTACTTGTTTCACCATCATGCTGAAATCAGATAAGTGCTTGTGAATATTAGTGCCTTTTGCCATCTTCAATTGATATAGCTCCATCTTTAAACACAGCCAATTGGTTAAAGATTTTTAAGCATATATCTCTTCAAGCTTCTTCTGCATGCCTATTGGAGTAGTCTCTGAAAAGACATTGTATTTTACCTCCGGTGCAAGTCCTGACTGAATTTGACTTGCTACCTTATTTTGGATAGTACTCGAATCACTATACTTCATCTCAGCCAGTTTGGTCTCTTCTAAAGTTGCATCAAGTCCTTAACAAATAAGGACATCCTTCACAATGCTTTGCCATAGAGCAAAGTCATTCTTGCCATTGTATAACTCAATTGAATACTTCATGGCTTCAGTTTACATTTTGCCACAACACCAGGAGCTCTACCAATAACTCTGATACCACTTGTTGGGAATTTCAAGCACCACAATTCCACGCAAATGGAAGCGATAAAGATATTGAGACACAATTTAACGTGGTTCAACTTGTATACCTCTCAACAAGTCTGCGTCCACGGAAAAAGGAGAAATAAATCTACTATTAAGTAAAAGAGTACAATAATTTAGAAGTTCTCTCACTCAAGAAGCTCTCAACACCCTAGCTTCAATGTATAGAAACTCTCAAATTCTCCCTAATACTCTCTCTTAATCTATACAAGGATTTTCTCACAATTTTTCTCTTTCTTTTCTCTCACAAGAGCTCTCACTCAATTCCTCTTGCTTTCCCCCACTCTTGCTTACACATTGCCTTTGCATGCATGGATATTTATAGTGAAAAATCCAACCACTCATGCACCACTTTTCTCTGCCTCATTACCATTAGTGCATGATTTTTCTTGCTTCATTAAATGGGTCACATGCAATCTTGCATGATTTCAACAAAGCAATCCTAGCCCACAACTAGTTAGGTTGGTGAAGAAATTTCACCACATGGAAAGTCCATGTGTTCACATGCATGGGGTTGGACTTTCTATCAACAAACACAACAATAAAAATAGCCAGTTAAGCAAAACTGCTTTCACCAATTGAATCTAAAATTGAATGAGAGTTTCTCATCCATTAGAACTTTTAATATAGTGAGACAACAAAATCCAACCTTAGTTATGACTAGGAGGATTTCCCATGACATGCACTTCATGACCTGCAAAGTGCCACTTGTCCCAATCATTTAGAACTATATCAATGCCTGGAATCCTATCATCGTTTAATGCTGAACCAATCACCTAATGGTAGAAAAGAATAGTACAGAAGTCAAAAAAACTTGCAAGCATTATTCAACTCAACAATTAATGAACTAAAAATTCTACAAAGAAGCACACCCTAATATCATAAAACATATAAAAAAGAACTTCTTTACAAAAATGCATAACAATGGACTAAATTTACAAGATTGTTGGGTCCTAACTGTAATTCTGGGCAAATGATCTAAAAACGCACATATTCATCTTTATAAATTCAAAATCTTGTACAAATATGTTAAATTTCTAATTATTTCTCAAGTTAATTCTTTAAGAGTCATGATTCATAAAATAAACTTTAGAGCTTTTGTTTTTTCACTTATCATGCATGAGTTTACCACTATGTAACCAGCCTACAATTGTTCTATGATTTAGAAGTGGTTCCAAGGGGAAAATCATTCTTTAACAGCTACAAACTTTTTAATAATCAATAAAAACACAAACATTGCTCTAATTCACTATCATCATGCATTACAAAATAAAGCAATAGAAGAATTGTGTGCAACATCAGATGCAATATGCAAGAGGACGCTGTTAGATTGTACATGATCATTTCATGTATAAGTTTAAGTCCATTTGATATACAATTAATCAATTCCATGAAAAGGTATTAGTAAACCATACCTTAGCACCGTATCTTTCTTTTAACTCCATATTCCCACCAGTATGGTCATGATGGTGATAAGTACTTAATACGTAACTCAAATTCCAATGTTGGCTACTCAAAGCATCTATAATTGGCGAGGCTTCAAAAGGATCAACAACTCCAATAGTGCATGTATCCACGCCATGTAAAAGGTATGCATACTTATCCTTGGGACATGAGACCTAGAAAGAAAAGTAGTTAGGGAAGGATTATGTCCAGATTTTCCTCCTAAACTCTAAGTTAATTTCTACAGTTCTACTCTTTAATAATAATGGCTTGCACAGAGTTATTTAACACCAAAATTCTAGAAATGTAATCTAGCAAGTCCATACCAATTCAATTTCTAATGCTGAAGACATAATGTGAATACTACAAAGGGATTGACTAACTCCATGTAAGGTAAGCCCTCTCCTGACCTAAAACAGGAGAAAGTGTCCATTGAAATGAATGCTTCACATATTCCTATATAACTACAAATGAATGCTTGAACATGATGAAAAATAGCACAAGCACCTCTGGATATTTTGACATCAGCTTCACATATTTCTTATTCAAAGTAATCTAACACAAAAGGAAGGATACTTAATAATTTATATTGTACTATGCTAAGCAGTATTGATACACAAAAATTGAGTCACATACCAAAATGATGAGAAGAAACAGAGGCAGGAGAATCTCTTGATTCTTTGGGTCCTGCATTGCCTTTACCTGCAAATATCGTAGACTTTTATTTAAAAAAGAAAAAAGAAAAAACAAAAAAAGAGGCATCCAAACAATGTTACTTGAAGATTTGGAACAGAAAATCTTACCATGCTTTCCAACTTTTTTGAGTTCAGATACTGCTGATTTTGTTGATTTTGCTTCACTTCATCATTAATTGATTTATGATAGCTTTCAATAATCCCCTTACAAAATGCTTTTAGCTTTTCAAATAGTAGTTTTAGAAAAAGGGTATAACTTGGATTTTTTATGAAATTCACAACATCCAGAGTTTTCGTCACAGCTTCATACCATTCAATCAAGGCAAGTATTTTCTCTGCGATTATTACTTCCATGGCTTCTTACTTTGATTATCACTGATTAAAAGAAAAAAATTGTATAAACAGTTATGCCAAGAGAAACTTGAAAACGAAAGTAAATGATAAATGACTTTTATCATTAGAGCATCTTATTTCACTCTTCTTGCAGTTCTTGCTGTGGTACGGACGACCAACAAACACTCCACCAAGCAAGAGGAATGCACCATTAACATAGACATCTGCAAGTGAAGCCAGGTTCTCTACAAATTTAGGATCATTCTTTTCCTCCTCTCGGTTGAACCTCACATTTTCAAGTAGCAAGACACCCTATTAGAAAGTTGAACCACCATTTCCTCTGGTTCCTTGCCAATGCAATCATTTGCCATCTTAACCTGCCATAGGAAAACAGGGAATAATGAGTGAAGAAAGCACAGAGGAACAAAGCTCTAGTCATTTTTTAGGACAAACCTCCACTCCAAGGAGTTGAGAAAGCCTTGGCACAAGAGGCTTTAGGCTGTATTCAAAGCTAACACCCTCAAGGCATCCCTGAAAACCAAAATTAGAATATCACATAATTTCACCGTATCATATTTTTGAGCCACCATGCAAATCAGGCAAAGATTAATCTGTGGACAACTACATGTCAATGTCCTTCAATGAGTCCCTTAGTTGCAACCTATTCTTAAGTCCTAATCACCAAGATAGTGCCAGCAAAACTAATCATGGATCCATAAAAAGCAAAACCATTATCCATCCACTTCATATTTAGTATAAACTAAGTTGAACAATGAAATCCTAATAACAAGATAAATTTGTTACCTTTTAGAGCACCATATATATGGTGCAAATTAAAATAAAAAATAAACAATCACACACCCAAACCCAGCACCTTAAAAATAAAACCAACGAGATCTAAGCACACACCATGTGATTGCATATGATGACTCTGGCGCTATGAACCATCAAGAACTTGATGGTGGGGACAGTAGTGCAGATTTTGGTGTCATCGATGATATTGAAGCTATCATCCAAAGCCAGAGGAATGTCGAAATCAACTTTCACGAACACCTTCCTCCTATTCAATTTAGACTCCTTCAAGTCACCAACACTTCGCTTGTTTCTCAGTTCTAGCATATACAAATAAGAAGGTGAGAGAAAAACAGTGTAAATGAGATTTTAATGTCAAATTTTCTAAAGAGAGTGATTGAGTAAACTTACTATAAACATTCTGGGTATGTGCAACCCATAAGAAAAACGTTTCAAGAATAAACTTTGACCACAATATCAAATTTGTGGGGTTCATGCTTAGCATGACCATATCCCGTTGCCTTGCCATCGTTCCTAAATCTTTCTCCATATGAGGAATCACCTCTGTCGCTTCTTTCCAGAAGCACTAAATGCGGGAAGCTGTGGAAGCTCAGTGAGATGGAATTGGTTTTAGGTTGGATGCAAACCTTGTGTTGAGCCCACATGCACAATTTTTACATTGTATTAGAACCCAGATTTTGTCCTAGGAAGCCCATTGTTAGCCCACCTGACAAGACTCAAAATTGAAGGTACTAAGCCTGCATTTAAGGAGGCGTGTTAACTCACGTAACAGAACCGAACATTCATAACGGGCTTGCATGTGAGGGGGCGTGTTAAGTGGAAAAATCCCACATTGAGTATAAAAATAAGAAGCTTGTGGGTTAAATATAAGGAAGACCACTCCACATATTGCCAATTGGTTTTAGGTTGGATGCAAGTCTTGTGTTGAGCCCACATGCACAATTCTCACATGGTATAAGAGCCCAAATTATGTGTTGGAAAGCCCATTGTTAGTCCACCTAACAAGACCCAAAATTGAAAGTACCGGGCTTACATTTAAAGGAGTGTGTTAAGCCATGTGACAAAACTCGACATTCATACGTAAGGGGGCGTGTTAAGTGGGAAAATCCTACATCGAGTATAAAAATAAGAAGCTTACGGTTAAATACAAGGAAAACCACTCCACCTATTGCCAATTGGTTTTAGATTGGATGCAAGTTTTGTGTTGAGATCAGATGCACAATTCTCACATGATATCAAAGCCCAGATTCTGTTCTGGGAAGCATGTTGTTAACCTACTTGATAGGACCCCAAATTAAAGGTACTAGACTTGCAATTAAGGGGGCGTATTAACCCACGTGATAGGACCTAACATTCATAGCAGGCCTGCATATGAAGAGGCGTGTTAAGTGAGAAAATCCCACATCGAGTATAAAAATAAGAAGCTTGTGAGTTAAATACAAGGAAGACTATTCCACCTATTGCCAATTGGTTTTAAATTGGATGCAAGCCTTGTGTTGAACCAACATGCACAATTTTTACATGGTATCAAAGCCTACATGCTATCCTGAGAAGCTCGTTGTTAGCCCACCTGACATGACCCGAAGTTGAAGGTACCGGGCCTACATTTAAGGGGGTGTGTTAACCCACATGACAGAATCTGACATTCATAGCGGACTTACACGTAAGGGGCATATTAAGTGGAAAAATCCCACATTAAGTGGAAAAATCCCACATTAAGTATAAAAATAAAAGCTTGTGAATTAAATATAAGGAAAGTGCCTCCACCTATAGTCAATTGGTTTTAGGTTGGATGCAAATCTTATGTTGAACACATATGCACAATTCTCACAATACAAGGATACGAACGGCCAATCAACCGAGCAAACTTTAAGAACGGTTGGAGAGTTTGGGCAGGGAACATTTTCTTCCAAAACTGTTCCCTCCGAATTTACGTTTCTTTCCTTTCTTGAAAAGAAAAGAAATGGGCAGACATCGCAATAATCGCTTCTTAGTCTTTACACCCGCACTCGGAGATTCCTATATAATCGTGGGTCATACTTCTTATGTACGCAAGACCTCTAGCAAAAACTGTTTTTCTATTATGGGGCAGTGACGTGGAGAGTGAATTGGGGGAGTGCTTTTTTTTTT